AAGGAAAAAGCTTTGGTGGAGTAGATCTTTAGATCTAGGAGATGGGAACATTTGTTTTAAAAAGTAAATTTTGTTCTCAAAGCATTGTATCTTGATGCTTCACTGCCATCACATGGTCCAAAATGTGGGTCTTTGGCTTTGGCCACTCTGATGGGTGCATGGCTTGTAGGCGGGGCACACATAAACACTTATGTTCAGTGGCAAAACTCTATGCTTTCCCTTTTCTCTTTTTCTGCTTAACTGTTTTTATCTTTGTAGCCATTTTTCAATGTCCATATTTGTCATTCGATTTGCTTTATCCAGATGGCAATAGACTGTTTTCCTTGCACAGACTCCATATCATCTCTTTAGGTAGTCCATAACTCAGCGCAAGAATGATAACAATAAGTAAGAGTTTATTATTTGTGTCTTTTTCCCATAATATTAATCTTTTTGTAATACAACCTGTGCCACTGTTTTGCAACCAGGAATAAGATCCTGAGCATGGAAATGGCATCCACCCAGGAGTTGGTGCTTTTCCGGTCATTTCTTGTGCTCAGTTTATTCCACACTCAATGGAAATAATGCAAAAGCATCTTCCTAAATGCCAAATGAGTCTAAACTTTCCAAGAATTTTGTGCACTTGTGGGGAGTCATTCCCATTACTTTGGCCTTTACCCCAAATGCTTACAATGGCAAGTCCATGTCCATGTCACTCCAGCCCACAGCCAGATTTTCCCATGATAGCATGTTCACATCACCCACCTCTCAATTTTTATCATGACATGATGGTCATGTCATCCGGATTGTAGTGTTAATACTTCACTCTCTTCATGAATTCCAGACAAGTGAGGCCACCGGTGGAGACTCTTGCATGATCAGTCCAGGACCCTCAGAACGTGACCCATCTGACCGCTCAGGCTCACATACACCCCAAAGCACACGTGGAGAGAGCTGCAATGGAACAGGGGGGACAGCAAACACCTCCCGGACCTCCACCCCTAGAAACCCCACTCCGCCAAGACCCACTCACGTCATATCCTTGGAAGCTTACAAAGCAGAGAAGGCCAAGAGTCAGCAGAGACTCAAAAAGATGTTGGGTATGCTTTTCCATGTTGATGGTAAGTGCTGTTCTCTCTTTCCTTATTTTGTACCACTAGCTTAAAAAAATAATAATAATAAAAAATAAGAAAATAAATAAATAAGTAAGAAAAATCGTGTTACACAGACCCCCTATTAAAAAATGTTATAGCATTCAGGTTGACCAGAATCCCACCTTTACCTCTGATAGGTGTATACTATGAGAACAGTCAGAAAAAGTGCTAAGTTGAAGAATTATTATACTTTTCTCATTCACAGAAAATGAAGAGAGTCAGTCATCAAAGTCTGGAAGTGTACCTCAGCCAACACCAACCACATCATCCACCCCAGCAGCAACATCCATAGACACTGTAGGAACTTCAACCACAGTGAGTTCTGTATTGAAGACCATTGCTCCAGACAATGCATCAACAAGTGTGTCAAGTAGTACAACTACAACAGCTGAGACAGACAAGAATGAAGTGACTACAACTTTCACATTCTCTCTCAAACCACCATCTACCTCTGTAGCAAATAAAGAAACTGATACAGTAAAGACAACCGAATCAGCTGGGGATGAGGGTGGCAGTAATGTGTCTGTTACAGCTGTCTTGAAGCTTCCTCTCCCAGCCAGTAGTGATGTTACAAGCCTTAGCACACCATCTGTCTCCACAACATCTTCCGCTGCTGTTACTCAGCCAGCAGACACATCCACTGCTGTAACATCATCTATAGTAGCAAAAAATCCACTCTTAGCCGGTGCAACCTCAAGTGAGTCTGCCTTTGTACCCCTGAAACCTAGTTCAGACTTGAGTCAGATAAGTGGCATAACGCCTCTGACAGCACCATCTAGTGCAGCTAGTGAACAAACCAATCAAGGAATGTTTAGTTTAGGGACTACCTTATCAAAGACAGCATCTCAGATCAGTTCCAGTACAGCTGTGTCCTCAGCCTTCAGTTTTGTTATTCCTGGTTCTAACAAGTCATCCTCGACTCCTGCAGTTAGTACAGCAAGTGCAACAGATGGTAAAAATCCAGAAAACCAGCAGGAAAAACCCAAAGTTCCTGGTGCTTTTACTTTCGGCAGTCAAGCTGCTCCTGCAAATACAGGCACTAGTAGTCAAGGAGTATTTACTGCTACTGATCCAAAAACATCACAGGGATCATCTGCAGTGCCTCCTGCAAGTTCCTCTTCTCCTTTTACCTTTGGTGCTGGAAGTGATGCAGTATCCAGTCAGAGCTCTACATTCACTTTTGGTCCCAAAACTACTCAGACTGAGGCTTCCACACCAAGCCTTGGGTTCCCTTTTGGATCCCAAGACGCCAAAGCACCAGCAACTTCAACACTGACTTCAGGAGCTCAGACAACTTCCGCAGCTTCCGGTTTCAGTTTTGGAACATCACCTGCTCCTACTGTTGCTGCAACTTCTGCTCCTGCTCC